GAGGAGTAACAAAGCCAGTAAGCTTGGAGCACAGGTAACTATAGTTCCAACAGTTATTCAAAAAGTAAAAATGGGACTATCAAGAAACCAGGTTCCTTCCTTGGCCCTGAAGATACCATAAGTATTACATTAATAAGCTGGTAGCTGGTAACAGGAGACACTCTTGAGTTTGGCCAAACGTTTCACACAGCGCTGCATAAGTGATTATGTAACGGCCACAAACATCCTCACCAATGGCATCATCAAAATCTTGAAAGAGAAATGTTTTCAGCAGTTCTGAAAGCTAACCAACAGTACATCAAATTAAAAGTATTCTATCTCAACCATTTCTCTTAAGTGCCACAGAATATTAAGACAGAAAATTCTTGTTTCATCTCCTGATTCCCTGAGATAGTGCAGATAGAGCATTGTTAGTCCATGCCTAAGTAATGTTATGAAGTCAGGGGAGCTCCCCAATTTCCCTGGAAGAGGGGTTCCCTGGGTGACAATCCTGCAGGAAGAGAGGCAGGAGCATGTCTAGAAACTGTGCTGTTAAAGTCAGGAGTCACCTTTGCAACAGGGGATGTCTTCCCTCAGGCAGGTAGAAAGGTGTCTTCCGATGCTCTCCATTGCACCTAGACCCCTTCATTCAACTACCCCTTCTCCAAATATCCCAGTGATAGGAGATAATCTACAATTCATAAAAAAAATGAAAGGCAGGAGTGGCAAAAAAAATCTTCTGAGTCAGATAATATGATTTACTTTATGACTTCTTTGGGCGCCTACAGGCATAACACGTTGGGTCCTCTACAAAAGATTCACACACGAGAGGAGGATGAATCAAAGGCAGTCTGTGACGGACGGAAAAGCAACAGGCCTTAACAGCCACAGACTGCAGCTCCCCCAAATTCACAGAAGCTAAAGACTGAAGGCACAGGGAACCTCCCCTGCAAAGAGAAACTTACACGTATCAGATCATTCAAAATTTCCCACAAGCCCATTGTTCCCTCAAGGTGGCTTTATTATAAATGACAAAGCCCCTGATGACACACTTGATGGTGAGAAGGTAAACAGTCTAGAAAAAAAAAAAATAAGCATATACAAATTTAAATATAAATACATAAATAGAAATATAAATTATTTATATATGTGTGTGTGCATGTGTGTGTATAACCTATAATCCCATCTTGGATTTATAAGCAGTTTCTCTGGCCTTTAAAATAATGAATTCTAAACAGCAACAATCTTTCAGTGAGAACGCACAGTGAATGCCAGGGAAGAATCAGACGGAAGATTCTCCATTAAAGAATTTTCATTCTAATAACGGGCACATGCATACAGCCACACACATTAAGTCACCTGAGTGTGGAAGCCAGGCCTGTTGGTGAGGCTGTGAAGAGGAAAAAGGAGAGAAATCTGACTGGGATAACTAAGTGAAGAGCCAAGAGAGGAAATGGCATCTACTCAGGTGTTATTTCAGCATGTGGAGGATGGTAGGGCATGGGTAGAGAATGGGAAAATTGGGATAACAGTCACCAGTTAGAAAATCTAAAAGCAGAAGGATGTGTGAGGATGTCCAGTTCAAAGGGAACTAGGGCCTGAGACATGTATAAGAGCAGAAAGGGAAATGGGGGAGAGGCTTGGCCTCATTCATGCATGGAATCATCTAACTGGTCCTGGGACCCCAAGATGCATCTTAAGAGACAAGGATATTGACACAGCCCCTGACCTCAAAGAGAAAGTCAGGGCTGTGTAATTATCAGTCACCTGGGATCCACAGAGAAGATCACGGAAGGCTCTCTATCAGGAGCCAGCTATTCAAAATGTTATCTGGGGAGAAGATTTAACCGATGGCCTGGATATGTATGAAAGAGAAAAGGGACGAAGGGCATCCACAGGCAGAAACCAAAGAGCTTCTCACACCAGACAGAAAACACGAGTTCAGACTTGCATTGTGGTAGCATGATTTAAGAGTAAAAATGAAACCAAATGGTTATGTATTTCATGTAACGGCATTCCTGTTGTAAAAATTTGTCTGATTACGAGATTCTAGGTAATAAGGTTTACAGTTATTATGATGAATAAGTTGAGATTTGAAGCAAAAGGCAGCAACATGAGATAGATTTCTATGGAAAGTTTTTTCTGTTTCTTTTTTTGTTTTTTTGCCGAGTACAGTCACAATGTCAGAAGGAAAAAAAATAGGTAATAAAATTATTTGAAAAAAGTCAGAAAGAGGTGTGAGAACTGATTGTTGTTACTGGCTGAGACCAATAATTCTTAAAGGCAAAAGTAACGGAGGTGCAAAAAATTGCCTTATGATGAATAAAATACCAATCACTGAAAAACCCACTGGTAGCATGATCTGAACAGACTAAAAAAATGTTGATGGATTCAAGAAAAATTCAGTGAGTTCTCACTCAGCATCAGTGAAATAAGTTTCTCAAGGCAAAAGATAAAAATGTTTTTAATGCCGAAGACTAGAACCATGTCCTGAAAAACCTGGCATTAATTCATTAATTTATTGGGTTCATACTTTGTATACAGCACAGTGCTACATGCTTTAAGAAACACCAAGGTATAATAGCTCTTAATTAAGGCCTACAAATGGCAAGGCAGTCTATGATTAAATGCCTAATGAATAAATGTGTTAAATGTTATGGGTTCAGCAGAGAAACGGATCTCTAGGATCTACAGTTTTGGGTCAAGAGAAAGAACCATGGAAGATGTTTTGGGTAAACAGACAGGATAAAACTGACTCACTAATTGACTTGACTTGCTGTCAGAGCATTTGCTTCTGCTAGCTTCAGTGTGTTAGTTACATACAGTTAGAAGGGGGCCTTGTAGCCAGGCAGGAGTCAAAATGCCCTCATATTACTAGAAGCTACTCTTCCTGGAATCCCTGTCTTCCTTGGGGACAGAAAGAAGTCTGATCTGATTCACCAACACTACTGCAGGTCCTTCGATTCCTCTGTGGAAGATGCTTTAAGGCTACTGGGGCAGCGTGTCGCAAACTTCAGGGCATATGTACACGAATCCCCTGGGGATCTTGTTAAAATGCTGGTTCTGAACAGGACCAACATTCTGCATTTGCAGTAATTCTCAATGATGCAGGTGCTGCTGGGTCTGGACTACCCCCCTTTGAGTAGCAGGGTATTAGAACATCTTCAGCTACCGTTATCAGGGGATGATATGAAAGCATCATGTTGGGGTCAAAATGCTTGAGCTCCAGATCTGAACCTCTGTGCCTATTCTAACTCACAATAGGTAGATGTTAAGTGAGGCTCATGAAGGGGTGAGAAGTTGGAACAAGCAGGACTTCCCAGAGGTGATGGAAAACAGAAAATAGCAAAAAGGAAGAGACTGGCTGGTCTGGGGATCCTTGGAATAAATAAATAGGTGATAAGAGAGGCAATATAAATTATATAATTAATTATGATAGAAACTATAAGAATAAAAGAGTGCCCAGGAAGGGCTGCGATTGTTAGAAACTGTTTTACAACAATGTAATTTTAGGGATTCCAGAATAGTGAATACACAATGCGACTGCCGGTTGTCAAAATTGTTGTTTTTCCTTTTCACACATCTGAGGTCAAATTTTATCATTGTTTTCCCCCAATACAATGCATTTTAGAGAACAAAACATAAAAGTGATATGAAGTAACAAGACAGTCATTCAAAGCAATAGTTAGATTTCTCCTCTGTGCTAACTGGTGTATGCAGACCATACAGAAATGCAATTATGGGGCTCATAGCTACTCCCCTGCCGAAAAAAGCAGTCTGCAATCTGCCAATCTGTAGCAAATTCTGTCTTTTCTGAGAATATTTTAAGAAAAGTGGTGGACAGATCTTTGAAAGGCAAGAGAAGACTAATTATAATTCAGACTAGTTTCTTTTCCTTTCCCAAAAAACATAGAAGCTCCTTTAGGACTTTCTTTTCCTAGACACAGCAAAGCATTTCATAATTCTCTTCCTCAGGAAAAACTTTCACAGATTCTTCAACCAATTCAGAGGAAGGGGAGAATGAGAACACCATAATTAACAAAAGAGAAATGGTATTACCACCAAAACCAAATAAACCTTTTTTTTCAGCAAGGAAGAAGTGCTAGCTCAAGTAAACATGCTATTTAGTTAGGGTGTATGCTCAGGCACCTGTAGCAGGAAATTTTCAAAATAACTATGGTTTCGTTCTCTTTTTTCAATAGTAGTCATCTCCGACAAACTCTAAGTGGATGTTTGTGGTATGTGTCTGCTCTGTCCTGTTATGACTTTTGAGTTTTCTACTTCGATTAGTTAAGGATTATGTTTTTTCATTAATTTCAATGGTTTCCTCCACTAAAGCTACAAAATGAAACATTTCGGAACAGAAAAAAACTGAAAATCTCATCTAGGCCAACTCTTGCCACTGTACCTAGACAAAAATGAGAACCAGTGAGGCCAAGGGACTTGGCCAGATCACCCAGTCACCTTGGTTGCCAGTATAACACGCTTTAGTCTTCACCAGCTCTCTTGTAGGTAGAGTCTTCATCTCAAACTAAGGGTTAGATCTGGGTTTCATTCAGGATCGAGGTTCTGCGATAATTACATATTTACAACTTCTTCTCTACTTGGCATGGGGCCTCTGAACGAGGAAAAAAAAATGAAGGGTTTAGCTAAACCTGGAAAAAGAAGTTTGGGTTTGGTGATGTAACAATGCAGACTTCAGTCTCTGTATGGGGGTGGGTGGTAGAAGAGCAGGCATTTCTATTTATTTTTCTAGGCCAAAAAGCAAATCCTACCATTAAGCATAGATTTGGGTCTTGTGAATGTTGAAGCTTTTAAATTTCAGGGGCACCCTAAGAAAAAGAATATAAAAATTAAGAATAGAAATTAAGGTATGAAAGTGAATACTTGAAATTTAAAATATCATCTTACAAATTGTAAAATTTAAAAAAAGCTACAAATACCACAAACATAAAATTTGAAAAGAAATGATTATTTTTATTAGTTAACTGCCTGACATGCCTCTGAGATATTTTTACTACCTTTTTTGATTGCATACTCTTTGATTGCATCTTCCAATGATATTTTGTAATAGTCCGTATAGAGAAAATTGAAAAATAAATCAGTCTTTCCCCTAGAATTGTTGATCCGAATTCGTAATTTATTTCTGAACAGCTTGGAAAAAGTTTCAGCTTCATCATTCATTTTAAGTGATATACTATAAATGTTCTGAATTGCCCCTAAATTTGGGAAAACCTCTATCAAGTTCCTTTTATATGGTGAGCTATAATATTCAAGGCACAGCAAGATTTCTTAAATATTCTTGGACTTGATTGACACTCACTAACCACATTGCCAGTCTCCCTTCCAAAGCCAGGAGATGGGTCTACACCAGGCATAAGCCTTAAAAGTTATATTCCATTCACTTATGGTGAATCCACCTTGGCATACTATATATATCCCCCATGTATTTATGCATCCTTTAATTCCCCCAATCCTTCCAAACAAAGGTTTAGTTTTGCTCAGAATACCTAAAAATTCCTTGACGGCATAAATATGCCACGATTTGTCAAGTGATGTATATATTTCATTCTCTCATTGAGGTCACTAGACTGGCATGACGTTTGATTACCTGGTGTAGGCATCAAACATTATTTTATTTAGCTAAAGAAATTAAATTGGATAATAAATGAAAAACATTAAAACATTAGAAATATGTTGGATATTACCATTATTTTTCTTAACCCCTATGTTCTCCCACCACCCATGCTACAATAGAGAACAGTTTATGTCAACTGAGGTGACTTAGTCTCAGTATAATATATAATAGAACTATTGAAGGCCAGGTCCCTAGACCAGACCATCTTGGTTCCAACCCCAACATAATCACTTGATAACAGGGCAGCCTTTGCTAAGTTTTCTAAACTCCAAAGCGCTTATAATGAGTATTATAAAATCTACCTCTTGGAGTTGATTTGAAGGTTAACTAAAGAGAAGAAGTGTTTCGCACAATCTAGGCAGTGGAAGATCTCGGTAAGTGGGCTCCATACATTAGTGGGAAACCGGTCCAAGAAGGCTCACGAATGAAGCTTCCTCAAGAGAGGGACACAGCTCCCCAGGAGCATGAAGCCAATTCAATTTCCCTACGTGGAAAAGTTTCATAGAGTTTTAGGATGACCACTAGTCATCCACAAAGCAGCAGAGTGAGTTTCCTCTGAAGTCAGTGAGTCCTCTAATGATTTACAGCTTTCACAGATAAGACCTGCTGTGGCATAGGCTCAGAGCATACACCTGACCCCATATTTTCCTTCGAAACATTCATGTTTGCTCTGCCAACTCCCCGGCTCTCTAAAATGCATAGTTTTGACAACCTTATACCTTTTATAGTGTCAGAAGGGCTTTTTACTTCTTAACACTGTTCTAATGTTCTTGTTTTCTTACAGAGCTTGAGAAGGCCATGGATCACTCAAATAAACATTTACAATAGCAGAAAAAACATCCAGAGAGGTTTCACCTTGCCCTAGTGTTTCCAATACATGTAGGAAATGCCAATAAGCACTGGGAAATCTTTTAAAAAAATATGTTACGTGAAATAACAGACAGGACAAGTCAAATTAATAGAACTAAGGTTTCCTTCAAGAAAATACAAACTATGAAACACTGAATTCCTCAAAGAAGATACGATGTTATGATTATAGAAGGAGTCTTAGCTTTTTTTGCTAATGACCAGTCTCTCCAGGAAGAACAGAATAAAATCAACAAAAACCAATCTGGTGCCCCACACCTCTGCAAAAGAATGTTGTTCCAATGGCACTGGAAGACCCAGGGTGAGGGCATACAGAGGCCCACATACCAAAGATCAAAATATTGGAAATTTATAAATCAAGTGGAGAAACTGTCCCATAAAATAGGTTTTGTCCTACCTTGACTGACAAATGTATCTTTGTAATACTTTGGAAGGCCTAGTATAATTCTGAAACTCTTGAGCTACTCAAGTCCCTTTCTGGAACTGGGTGCTTTGGGTGAACATTGTCCCAGGCCTGGCCAGTAATACCTTCCTCTTTCCACTGCCTGCTCCATCCTATATCAAGTGGGGCCTTGTGAGATATGCATGGACACCCAAGTTGTAACACATCCCTGCACACACCCTATACATACACAGCTCCCCCATAACCACCCCTTAGAGGCACAGAGGTACCCAAAGGTCCATATAGCCTGTAAAAGTTAACCCAGGGCTATTTGGACAGTGAAGTATTGTTCCCAGGTACCTGAAATGTGATCTTAAAAAAGGAGGGGTTTGGACTCAGAGGCCCAGAGTCTTCTTACTCCATGTACAGGGGTCTGACTTGAGAAGACCAAAGGCAGTGCCCTCTAATATCCAGGGCAGAGGCCCCTTTTGCCCAAATACTAGGCCTATATTTTAACTGAGTTGAAAAAATTGAGGGGGGATCTCATCATAAAAGAAGAAAGAAAAGAAGAGAAGGAGAAAAGGGAAAGAAGGGAAGGAAAGGAAGAAAAAAAAAGAAAGGAGAAGAAAGAAAGAAAGAAAGAAAGAAAGAAAGAAAGAAAGAAAGAAAGAGAAAGAAAGGAGAGAGATAGAGCTGCATGTCTTGACAGCAAACAGCCTTTCCCCCCTATATCCTCATATCCTTAGAAGTCACGGGCATTTACTCTGCAACTAAACCCTAATTCTAATGAACTAACTAATTCTAATGAACTAACTAAAACCCTAATTCTAACGAACTAAGCTTCAGTCCTGTAAACAAAACAAAGATATTAGGGAACCCTTAAAAGCCTAAAGGGGAGATCTTGAGTTGACTACATCTAAGGAGGCAGTAGCTTCATGCTGAGTGCCAAGACCTAAAAAGCTGATCACAGCAAGTAAAAGGCCAGATCCTATCATGAGGAGAAGAATCTTAACCACCTACAAGTTTTCAAATTAGTGGGACCTCAAAAGTCAAATCATCCCATCCGCCTTTGTTATGTTGGATAAATTCTGTTCTTTCTGCCCTCACCAACAGTTGTTTGAGACCTGTACACAGATGCTGGTCCTACGTGCCTGGAATGTGGGATGTACAATACACAGCTTTGAAAACGGTGCTTGTCCTGCTATAAACGGTCGAACCATGGGGTCACATGAGGTGGGTCCCACCACCAGGACTCTGATCAGACTAGGAAGAGTAGAGTTTCCTTCTAAAGAGATGGCCTTATCTTGATTTTCTATGGTACAGAGTTACTCAGGAAGGAGGCAGATCATGCAAGCCAAGCAAATCATGAAATCAAGAGCACTGAATTGATGGTATCAGATGGTATATTTCCCCTTCTCAAACACGAGGACTCCTTACCCCCTCCCTAACTTCCATCTCAACACAGATGCTCACAGATGGACTATGTGAAAGAGCCTAGCTGAATGCAAACAGGGCAAGTTGAGAACGCACGCACATGCACGCACACCCGCACACATGCACACGCACACGCACGCATGGGCAAACCTCAAGAGACCTTGAGCAGACTCCACCTTCCCCATCTAGAAATAAAGTTAACAAAACTCATCTTGCAGACTTCTTCTGAAGATTAAATTAGATAAGTCATGTCAAGCAGCTGGCTCAGAGCAGATTTTCAAATGTTGGTTTCCCTTTTCCCCCCGCTCCTCCCTGAAAGGAGCCAGTGTGCCCGCTCAGCATTCTAAACCCTTCTGACATGCCAGGCAGGGAGGGAGAGTCATCGTCTTGCCTCGGTCAGAAGTAACACACACCTGGGGAGCAAAATGTGACATGAAAAAGAGGTAGCACAAAATAAGTGGTGAGCGTGCACACCCCTAGTGCATATCTGCTAAATCACTTCCACTGAAAATCACGTGTTAATTCGGCCAAAGCTACACGTGAGGAGCTGGAGGGCAGAAGCTAACAAGGTGACAGAGTTATGCCTTTATGTGGAAATTGGCTAAATAATGCCATGCTCTAGCCAGGAAGTAGGTTTCCTCTGCACCCTATTTTAAACTGTTTTGGTGGTTTGCATCAGACCTAAATAATACCCACACTGCTCTACAGCAGACAGAAGCTGCTTACAGGGCCCACACTTCCCTTCGATGGACTCTGCTTCACCGCTTATAAACCAAAACATCAAACCCTGATGAAAAAAGAAACTTAAAAGCTAAATTTAGATTTTCAGCACTTCATTTTTAATGAAAGTCTCCTTTCGACAACCTTCTAGAGAAGAAAAAGAGAGAGAGAGAGAGAGAGAATTCAGTATTTACTGGAAAATTTCTTTGGTGAAACCCTAAAGTTTTGGAATGGCTTAGAATGTCTTACATCAATTCAAAATGTATAGCTAAAGGGACTGCATGAGAACTTTCCAGAATGTTTGTCAGAAGCTGAAGCATCTTTTTCCATATCTCATCAGAATAATAAAAAAAATACACACCAATTACATACTAAAAAACAGCCAAACTGTTTACTTAGATCAGAGTCAAAAGTAGTAGCTAACTAGTAGAGTAGTTAACTACTCTACTAGTTAACAACTAGAGTAGCTAACTGCTCTAACTTAGAGTTACTCCTAGTAGTTAACTACTCTACATTAAGTTAGTAAAAGGAAGATTTTACTATTCAGAGCAAACTCCCAATAGATAAGGGCTGCCTGGTTGTTAAAATGGTTGCTCTGGATTGTACCAGGAGCTCAGCTCAACGTTTCCTGGGTGCTAGGTGATGTTTCTGGTCCTTCCAGAAACCCTGGATATGGAGAAATTAATAAGACACGCCTCCTGCTTTTGAGAGGCTTGAATGGCAAGGGAGTCACGTAAAGATGTAATTTCAGCTATTGTTATGAGCTAAGAGAGAGGCCTGTCCTCAGGAGGGGATGTTTAGCTCAACCACTAGGCATTCAAAGGGGTTTCCTTGGGCAGATGACACTTAAGTCTGAATGATGAGGGAAAATTATTCGGGTGGTAGGAGTTCCAGAATGACAGCAGCTTGAACAAAGGCACTACTAAGCTGCTCAGAGAATGTGTATGTAAGATGAACAGGATACAGTGGGAAAGTATGAGCCTTGGTGGGATGTGAAGTCTCAGAATCAAATGGCAACCAGGTCATGGAGGATCCTATTGAGGCCTGAATTCGGAGTTAAAAATAATAATGAAAGCTGGTATTTACTGAGCATTTACTATGTGGCAGGCACTAGGCTAAGCACTTCAAAGCATTATTTCATTTAATCTTCACCATAACTCCAGAATCCCCATTTTACAAATGGGTATGGGGGTTAGAGAAGGAAGGGGACTGTGTCCCCTTACACAGCCAGTAAATGGAAGCTGGGTCTGGAACCCACGAGGCCTCCATTCCAAAACTCGTATCTCGAAGCTTCTCCTCAAAACAAAGATTAGACCGGCACATTGGTCCACCACAATGGCTACAGAATGGAGGACTGGGGTGGGGGCCTATAACATGGCGGGCATAGAAAAGAACAGATGAACAAAAAGGAAGATATTCAGAGGGACTGAGAAAAAAAAAAAAACATTCAACTTGCTCCCCTCCAAGTGCATTCAACAACCAAACAGCTCTTGTAAAGGGGGAGTCTGGAAAATAAACCACCAGTATTCATTAACGCTCCCAAGTGTTAAACTATGTGTCCTGGTCTCTGCCTTTAACACCCTCCCATACGTTCAACTGTCTTATTCGTTTGGGATAGTGTCTCCAGGTCTGAATCTCCTGCCTGGTACAAGGAGATACTCTATAAATATGCTGAGAAGGACCAATTAGTAATAGCTGTTTTTTTTTACAATGGCACCAATGAGGTGTCATTCTTAATTGGAAAAATGGGGTTAAAAAAATAAAGAAAAATTTTAAAAGTTGTGTTGATAACTAAGGATTGGAAAACTAAAATGGAAATCATGTAGCAGTTGAGGCAGCTACACAGACAATAATAAGGACTCATCACCATGGGGTGCTACCTTGTAAAAAGGCAAAAAATCCAAAACAGGATTTTGTATAGACCACAACTGATGTTACTAAAGGAAGCAGTCAGGGGGGTCAAAATTTGTTTTCTGAAAAGCCATAGACCAAAGATCAAATTCTGGGCCTAGTAATCACTAGTCTCTGACCTTGACAAAAATAAATACATAATTAATATGATTTTAGGTAAGAAGTTTATCTGTATGATACTTTTACCAACACTGAGTCCTCAACAGAAATCTCTTGTTAGGTATTTGAAAAGTACTGGTCACATTTTCCAGATCTGAAGAGTTTTCTAACATTTAAGATTTCCCCCTGAAGAGTCATTACTTAATTTGGGGCATTGAGGAAGGGTGGATCTACAAAACAAAACAAAACAAAATTTAAGAAGGCTTTAAGTACATTTCTTAGTGAAGTTTGTTCTTATACTGAAATCCTTGGCCCACTTATCAATCTATGGAACAGAAGATGGACTTTTTTGCGGGGCCTAAAAGGATGTTGCTAGGCATCTCATTTCCTCATATCTTATCACACAGGAAGATATTTTGAAAAATGTCTTGACGGTTTAGCAGTTATTTTAGAAAAATCCTGAAACTGCTTACTTATATGGAAAATTAAAATGGAAGTGGAAGTAGGTTTCTCATTTTCATTATAGCTACCTTCAACCTTCCAGTATCTTTGAAAATTTAATTTCAAATGAATGCAAATTCCAAAATGATTCCTTAGTTCAAATTTGGAGACTTTAATTCCATCAAATATGAAATCTGTGGGTTGTTTAAAACTGTTCAAAAGCCCAAATAAAAAGCCACGAGGCTTTTAAGTTAATTGTTTAGAAATGTGTATATAGATGAAATGAAATTGACTCATGAACTACTGAGTCTGGAATTTGAAAATCCATAAATCTTCCTTGTAAACGAAATCAAGGTCGTTTGATTTCCTTCTTTCCTAGCTTGAAACAAAAGTTTTAATGATTTTTAACATTTTTTTTTGTTTACAACAGTGTTTCTTCCTCATGCCATTCAAAACTCCCATCTCCATGCCACCTTCAAGAAGAAATGTCATTTTAAAAAGTTCTCAATTCACTTCAAATACTCCGAGGCCTACCATTTAGAACCTGGTGCTTATTTCTTCTAGACAAACCTAAAGGTAAGTCTGTCCGTGGCCCAGGTAAATAAAGCAAGCTCCTCAGGGTGATGTGGGCTATCAGGGCATCTCCAAGTCACCAAAGGGGAAAGAGAGCGACAAGATGTCACAGATGAAGGGGATGTAAAGTTAACCAAATCTAACCATTTTACAGATAAGGAAGCTGAGGCCCTCAGGTTCCAAGTACTCAGTTAACCCAGGCCCCAGCTGCAGATAACTGGGTTATGCAGATCACGGCTGCCAGAAAGTAATAACTTTTAAAGTCTCAAGGGGGTTCGGTACTTTCCATAATAAGTAATTAACAACTCAATTCTTGCATTTTTTCACCTCCGAAGACGACCAGAGATGGGGAGCTCAGGGACAGTTAGGAATTTAACCTTTCCGTTTCCCTCAAAGGACAGTTGCAGAGAACCATCACCTCCGGCAAGGCAGGGCTGTCTGGCTCCAGGCAACATCTCGGGCACCCAGCACCCAGCACCTAGCACCTAGTGGGCACCGAGTTAATAATTCCCCGCCTGCCACCTGACAATCCCCGCTCCCTACCCCACCCACGCCCAGCCCTCGGTGGAGCCAGATAACTTTCTTTTGGAAATTGCCTGGTTCCGTGAAACTTTCATACAGTGACTCGGGGCCGAGAAGCGGGCCTGGGGGAACGTGCAGCGCCTCCCCAGAGCCCAGACTGGAATTGCGGGCCACTGAAGGGGGTGTCTGGCCGGGAGCTGGGTGGGCACGCAGCATCGCCCCGGGCCGCGGCGACCCCAGGTGCGCCAGCTGCTTTGGCGGCCTCGGCGGCCTCCGCACCGGGCCGCAGCTCCCCAGCCTCCTTCAGATACCCAAGCAACTTCTCAAACTTCCCTTTCCGGGGGTGGGGGCTCGCCTCGAACGCGGCAGGCACAACGCCTTTCCTGCCCGCACAAAGGGGGCCCGACGTGCCCCGTGCCCCTTCCTCTTTAACTTTCCTCCTCTTTTGAAAGAGAAACTCACAGCCCGGCGCCCCGGGGAGCCGCGCTGCGTGGGTGCAGCCGAGGGAACTTTCGCGTTTCCGCCCGAGCGCCGGGCGCGGGGGGCCGACTGTCAAAGCGCAGCGGGGACCCCCCGGCGTCCAGCCGAGCCCACCTGGGGGCCACTCACCCGACTTCTGAACTTGCGGCGGGATCGTGCTGGCGATGCGCGTCCACAGGATGATGTGCAGCGGCCACAGGCCCCTGAGCAGCCCCCGACCCATGGCAGCCCCCGCCGCTCGTCATAGACCGAGCCCCGAGCGCAGCGGACGGCGCCTCCCGGAGCCCCGGCTGCGCCTCCGCGCCGCGCCCTCTCGGGACCCCGCGCCGGCCGGCCGGGCAGATGCGCGGGCCAGATGTGGCGCCGCTCGCCAGCCGGGAGGGGGCCTGGAGGCCGGCGGGGCGCGGGGAGGCCCCCGGCGGCCGAGGGGAGCTGCGCAGGAGGCCGGCTCCTGCCCCTGGCGAGCGCGCGCGCGGGGGTGTCTTCGGTCGGTGCGCGCGAGTGACTCACTCAACTTCACCCGGGCGCCGCGGGGGAAACAGGAAACTCCTCGCCAACAGCTGGGCAGGACCTCTCGCAGCCCGAGAGCCTTCTCCCTCCACTCGGCTTCCAGCCCTCCTCTCTCTCCTGACTGCCAATCATGTCCCTGAGACCGGCCCCTCCGAGGGCTTTGGCAAACTTTCCGCTGCCCCCACCGCCCTCGGGAGTTCCTGGCTCCAAGTATTTACCCCGGCGTGACTGAGGGCACGCGTTTCAGAAAGGAGCTGAACACACAGTGTATACACTACCCAGAGCACCCCCAGGGAGCATCTTCCGCCTCCCCACGACCTTCTTTGCATTGTTCCCAGGTGCTCCAGAACTGTGTTTTCCAGCTCCCAAGAGTGGATGCTGAAATCGGAGCTGTGAGCACATTTCTGTTTCAAATCGAATAGTAAGGATTGCCTCACTGAACTTTGGTTTCGGTTACACAGACACACGCCGCCACATTGTAAAATGTTTTGCTTAAGGTAGGTCGAAGTCCGGAATTTTTTGTTTGTTTGTTTTTGTTTTTAGTTTTTTGTTTTTTGTTTTTTGTTTTTTTCCCAAACTTTACTGCACAAATAGACCACCTGAGTATTGTGAAAATGCGGGTTCTGATCCGGGACATCCATGGTGCCACATTTCTGATGCACTCTCGAGCACTGCCTCCCTTTTGGAATTGCCTCTGCAAGGGTAAAAGAACAGCAGCCACAGAGTGACAGTGGTGGGAATTTTATGTTGAGACTATATGGAGTGTGGCAGAAAATGAAAATGGAAAAGTGGCCTGGGAGTCAGGTCAGTGCTGGGGTTTGCATTCCAAACCCTGCGATGAGAGACAACCCTTAGCTTCTCCTCTGTGGAAGGAGAAACAAAGGCAGCAGGACAGGATAGACTTTCAACCCTCCCTTCTTGCTAGGGTGACCAAGTTTGCCCTCAGAGATCCTGAGGTTTAAACCTTTGAGGTTTAATTATTAAAGAAGCCCCTTCTTCTTTCCCATGCACCTTGGATGGGTAAGGAATTATATGCTCATCTTACTTCCAGCTCTCAAAGACTTAAGTTCTGTATGGTTTGCTGGCCAGGAGATCTTCCAGTAGGCTACACAATGAACTTCCTTTATCTGAGAGAAAGATTATTTGCCAAGGCAGGTGGCCAGGCTCGCTGGGAAGAAAAGCAAATAGCTCTCCCCGGAAACCCAACTCCAGAAAACGTCCCTGTCAATCTAAGCATTCATTTGTTTGGTCCCGGAAACTTCAAGTCTCCTCACCATTGGTCCCCCCAACACTGGGGCTGCCTCTGAATGTCTCTTAGGAAAAGACCACTTCCCAGCTCTTGTGTTCAGGAAGGGCAGGGAAATCAGGAGCACTGGGCATTTTCTTGCTTACCAAACAGCCTTGCCTTACCAAACAGGCTTCCTGCTAATGCAGGAGCCACTTTAGTCAGAGAGTTGTGCTCAAAATCTGCTTCTTGCCATTTCCTCCACTTCAACCCCACCCATGCCACTGCCATCACTAGGGTGGGAGATCTCCTAACCACCCATCCCCAGTCATGGGCATTCTGGGCCCAGTCATCCAGTTTCTTAGCTCAGAGCTGAAGTCTGCTTTTCAAAATGCAAACCTAATTATACCAAGCCTCTGATTAAATTCATTCAATGGCTTCCCACTGCTCTTGAGATGGAGGTTAGAAACCAGATCCTTCAATGCCCTTCCTCTCTGGTAACCTTTCAGTGGGCTTCTCTTCCTCTCCAGCTGAGAGCCTTTTCCAGATTCATAGAGCATACCCACGATTCCTCCTGCACAGAGCTTTTCCCAGGGCACCCTTCCCTTTCTCCTTCCTTCCTTTCCTCTTTACCCAGCCAACTTCCGGTCTTGCTTGAACCCATCCTAACTTCCTGGATGGACAAGCTTTCCCTGATCTCCCTGAATAGATCTTTTATTACAGGTTCTCTTAGCACCTTACGCTTCTCATTGTTAGCACTTAGTACAGCTTTGGTTTTGTGATGATTTTGTGTCATTCTTTCATTTCTATTCCTCTCCCCCACTCAAGTCCAACTTTTCTGAGGACAGGGATTACATTTTCCCCTTCGACTCACTGTTGTATCCTTAGTACCAAGCACATAATAGGTGTTTAAAAAATACCTGTTGGATGAAGGAAAGAAGGAGGTCATAAAGATTCAGAAGAAAACTGGACTTCATCATCCTCCCTATTTCACAACTCCGGAGAAAGCATTCTGTTACCTACTGAATTGAGATGTAAACAGGCTAGATTTTAGCTAAGGGTGATGTCACTATTACTTCCTTTTCTTTAAGAAGAAGTATGTGGGTTTTTTTTTCTTTTTTTCTAAATTTGCCCAAGTTCCTCTGGGCAGTATACATATACTTCCTTATTCCCCCCCAAACACACTGAGAGGTAAATAAAAATGTCCAAGTGATTCTAAAGGCTTTCTTCTCTATACTTATTGCCAAGACAGATGTTTTTCGCTGTTAGAGGACAGTGGTGTCCATGGTGGAGTATTTAACTGGTGGTCTTTGTCATCATGTATCACGAATGTTGATTTTAATTTTGTTTGCCTTTAGCATTTCTGACTTAATCCCCAATCTCCTGTGAAATCGAGAGTCTGAAGTCAGCATTGCCAAGTGCAAACTCATCCCTTAGAAGCCATCACAATGAAATCAGAGACATGTAAACTCACACATATTGCAATTTGGCGATGTGAAAAATTTGTCAATATGACCTTCCTTTTGGGATTCTCGCTGAAAGAGAAGTCTATACTCTCCATTAAAACTTTGTTTTCAGAGGCGCCTGCATGGCTCAGTTGGTTAAGCCACTCACTGCCTTCGGCTCAAGTCGTGATCCCTGAGTCCAGGGATCCAGTTTGGCATGGGGCTCCCGGCTCTGCGGGGAGTCTGCTTCTCCCTCTGACCCTCTTCCCTCTCATGCTCTCTCTCACTCACTCTCTCTCTCTCAAATAAATAAATAAAATCTTGAAAAAAAAAAACCCAACAACATTGTTTTCACACAGAGTTATATATTTGATGCAATACAATTTTCCGCTAATATACATACGCAAAAATGGGGCCATTTGCAGATAGAAACAAAATTTAAAGCTCAACTCAGGACTTAAAAAACAAAGAGAGTAATTTTTAGGCCCTTACCAAGTTGAAAAACAATAAATCCCAAGTCAAGCCAAAGTTGAACAGCTTGAGTGTCTCCATATTTCCAGTTCCATGAACTCTGAACACACAAAACAATTGGACTGAATCAAAATGTAGTTAATGTAAGCCCTGCATTTTCCAGTTGTGATGAGGCAAGAACTCTCTACTCCCCTGAACTTCTTGACATGCAGCTGTTGAGGTTACTGGCAACCAAAGCAGTTGACGGGAGACTCTTTGCCATATAAATCAAGCGTTCTGCATTCTCAGCTCTCAGCTCCTGACCAATTTTCCTTCTATTGTGAAGCAGACCAGATGAGCACTGAGAAAATAGTGAATGTGGGAGGATCACTCCCCTCCCCCTTTCAGACTCCTACACAGGTTCGCTCCTCCAGGAAATAGTCTGATTCCTCCAGCTTAAACTGACGCCCCCTCTCCCAAGGAGAACTCTAGGGGCATTTAGTTTATTTAGCCATATGTATATATATTTTTTTTAATTTTATTTATTTATTTGACAGAGAGAGATCACAAGTAGGCAGAGAGGCAGGCAGAGAGGGAGAGGGAAGCAGGCTCCCCGCTGAGCAGAGAGCCTGATGCGAATTCTATCTCATGACCCGAGCCGAAGGCAGCGGCTCAACCCACTGAGCCACCCAGGCGCCCTAGCCATATATACTTTTTAATATTTATCCCATTCTGATATGGAGTACGTTATAATTATTCGTCAGTTTCTGGAATCCTACCCCACCAATTGTAAAGTCCTTAAAAACATAGATTATTCCCTTTTCAACCTTGAACCACACTTGGTGCCCGACAGTACTCGATGTATGTTTCCTGTCTTCGATAAGGGAAAAAATTAGAGGAAAAAAGGGGGGAAAATGAGAGTATTTGTTTTTCTAATCCATCCCCTTGCTTGCAGTTCTTTACAAATATTAATAAAACCTGCAAGTACACTACTTGTTTAGAGAAAGCATGAATAGTTTCTTTTGGAGAAAACATAGCTTTGTTTCAAGTTACAAAAATAATATATGGTAACCACAGGTAGAAAAAAATCTGAAATACAGATAAGCCAAAGGCAAAAAATAAAGATCCTTCACTCTCTCACCCAAAGATAATCACTTGTTAACATTTGGGAGCACGTCCTTGCTGTACTATTCTAAGCTTTGCTTTACGGGTGAAGAAATTGAGGATTACAGAGATTAAGAAGTTGGCAGAGGTCACATAGCTAGTGAGGGACAGAGCCCAGGTTTAAACAGAGGCCTGTCTCTAGCTCCAGAGTCCACACTCTAGAGAAAGTTGACAAAGGGGTTGATCGTAACCAGTGGACCAGCCTGATCACCACAGTATCTTGGGTGACTAAAGGTTGATTAGGGCCATCCTTTACTGTCACTACTTCCTCATCTCTTATTCATTAATCAACCCATGGCAGTCACTTCTCCATTGGAAAGTTCTTTAGTTCAGCTCACATCTTGTCTTCAACTTGTACAATCAGTGGGCACGTTCTAGTTAGTGGCTTACCTGCCTTCTTCCGCTATTGCCTTGGATACCACTCGTATGTTCACCTCTCTTCCTTGCATTCTCTCTTCTTTGACTTCCATGTTGCTTTTGCATTCTTATGTTACGGACTGCATAATACTACCCCCCCAAATTCATATGTTGCAATCTTAACCTACAATATGACTATATTTAAAGGTAGGAACATTAAAGAGGTAATGAATGTTAAATGAGTTCATAAGGTTGGGGCCCTAACCCAATGT